TAGTAGTAGTAGTAGTAGTAGTAGTAGTAGTAGTAGTAGTAGTAGTAAAGTAGAAGTAGTAGTAGTAGTAGTAGTAGTAATAGTAGTAGTAGTAGCAGTAGTAGTAGTAGGGCACAGCGCTTCCTACTTTCTGGCTGTCACGCTAGGCGAAGGCGAAGGTGGGCTTTGTGGCAGCGTCAATGTCAACGCAAAGACAAGACTCGCAGTGGGGTGGGGTGGTCGGAGTGATAGAGGTACCGGTAATAGTACGTAGGGGTAGTGGACGGCAGTGGGAACTATGCGGGGAGGGCGCAGTGCCTCCCCAGCAATGCAAATCAAGTATAGTCAGCGCTGGGCTGCTTCGTTTCTTGATTGGTTTAATTGGGTGTCACAGCTCAAGGTGACTCCAACTTTGCGGGTTGTCAGAGCTGAGCCTGCACTTTCATTCACCTTTGTGGCGTTGTCACGGCTAAGCGAAGGTGGGCCTTATCACCAACCTTTGCGGCGGTGTCAACGCAAAGAAGATAGTAGTTGTGGTAACTGTGGTAAGACTGGTGTCGGAGGTACTGGTAATAGCAGGGGTAGTGGCAACTATTGAAAAAGCGGGAGGGGGTGCGGGGGAGGGAGGGCACAGCGCCTCCCCTGCAATGCAAATCAGTATGGACAGCACTATCCCCCTATTGGGTAATACCCTAGGCTATCTCTTACTAGGGAGCTACCAAGACTGAAGGACCATAAGACCAGCGGAATCCAGCGGACTAGCAGACCAAGGGACTAGGTCTAGGTGCCCACTGAGACCAGCGGACCAGGAAAAGGACCAGCAGACCAAAGGACCAGGGGACCAAAGGACCAGAGGACCAGAGGACCAGGGACCTAGTCACGATTTTTGTTTGATCCTGTTCTTTTTTTATTGATCCTGTTTTTTTGATCCTGATGCTTTCCCCTTTCACATGCCGCATTGCTCTCCGCCTCGTGGCAGTGGAAGATATGGATGCGTGCGGGGTCACTCAAATCAAGTGATCCCCAACCCCCAGTCATCGGGGCAAATTTTTTGGACGAAGGCAGAGCACTCACTGAGCACGCCCACGAGCACATGCCAGAGACGATCCTGGCAGCGGGGGAATCCAACAACCTAAAAACCCTCGAAGGACTCCGAAAACATGGGTACAGTCGTACCCATTTCTAGAGGGCCATGTCCCATTTTCTAGGGTACTTTGGAGGGTCCAGGACCACCAAAAATGCTTTCAAGGTTCACATCAGCCACGCACATCTTCGCAGCGTGCTCCACCCTCTTCGCTTGCTGAGCGAGACCTTTGGCTAAGTAAGACATCTCTCGCTGCTCCTAGGTGCAAGGCGTCACACGTTCAAATGACAATTTAGTTGGATCTTTGAAAAGTAACCAAAGAACCGGTGTCTGAGGAACAAAGACCACCAACCCACTCCTGGTTTTTCTTCGCTCTGCTCCTCATCTCTTCTGGAAGTTGGCTAGGTTTTTGCATGGTCAAGCCGGTCAAGCTGTTCGAAACTTTTTTTTTAGGGCTGGGGCTTTCTTCAACAGCTGATGCCAATCACAAAGCCTTTAAGTATCAAATACAGTGCTTTGTCCCAACGAAAACTCAACTGTCCCTGGAACTTTTGGCAAACCATGGAATGAGTGCTGCAAACTATACCAATGTACATGATGTATCTGTGCAAACACCTCAACGACACGAATTGGACCGTTCAATGACGAAAAAACTCAACCGCCCAGTGGCAGTGCCCCACCAAAGGCTAGGGCCTTCCAAGGGCTTCTCTAGACCTCAGGTGAGGTCAACGCACGTTCACAAAAGTCAAACTGAATCTTTTGAGTCTCCTATTTCAGCCCTATTTCATGTGAACTGCTCAACACACACCACTTCCTGAAAGCTCCACAGCTCCACGGCTCGGCAACTGAGCGAGGCAACCTCCAGCCGCTCGCGACACAGAGTGCTGCCCAGCGACACACAAAGTCCGGCACTAAGACCCCCTCGCCCCGAAGGCCGAAATGCTCGATCTGGTAGACGCTCCCCCGTCCTGTGGACGCTTCTGGACGCGTTGGAGCCGAACAACGCGAGCGGATTCCCAGAGCCGTTCCAACTTCGGGTCTTGGGGAATATACAGTACACAAATAACACAAAGTAAATATAAATAAGGATACTATTATACTGTTGGACCTTTTGTTCACCCGTAAACACTGGGTCTTTCATCATCCAAAGGACTGAAAGTTTTGTTTGGTCAAGTCAACACCTCTATCACTATCTGTTAACAAGGTGATGTTACTATTGAATCCTGGTTAGCAAAAGGGGAGAGAATCAAATCAAATCTCAAACTGTATGGTGTGTGGTCTATGTTTTATCGGCCCCATACCGTATGTGTCCTGGAAATGATTCGAACACATTATGATGAAAAGGCGAAAACTGTGCTGCCAAAACCACATCGATTCACCCTTCTGCCGGTGAACAGCTGGGTTTGGTTTTCTTCACCTCCGTGTTCTTCACCGCTCAGGTATCCTGTTCCTTGGCCCAATGGTTCCAATTCTGAACCTTGGGCAACTTGGGTTGATCCCTTTTCTTTGACCCCACGCAATTCGACCCGGAGTCCACTAGCACCTTGGGACTTCCTTTTGGTAGACTGGACCATAAGATCCAGTCGCCTGCTTTTCAGCTGAGCACCTCTCCCTATAGGAGCAGTTCCCGAATTCGGTGGGAATGGACCCTCGAAATTGGGCCCCAAGCGCTGAACAGTAGGAATATTGCTTGACAATCCCCTCGTGTAATTTGGTGCTGCTCATTTGGTGCTGCTCTCAAGATTCAGGCAAACCGCACATGCTGGAGAAATACTCTGTCTTTGCACTGTGCACTGCTGGCAAAACTCTGAGCGCTGCTGGCAAACCTGCGGCGTTGGAGGTATATATTGTATAGTACAAAACACTCATTCTCTAAGGGTCATTAAGGTCCATTTCAGTGCTTAAGAAAGCAGGTCTGATCGAAACTCCTGCCCACTGGCTTTGGAGATGTTTCCAATGTTCATTGGTGCCCATGCCATATTCCATCCACCTCCCCATCCCCATCCACCAAAAAACACGTGCACAAGGACGCCACCACCCGCAAAGATCCTTGCTCCCAATGAGTGCGCCACTGGTGGCCCTCCAAGCGAATGAACTCCTCCGCTGCCGGTGCCAGCTGCAGCCCCTGCGCTGTCTCGATGACTTTTGGCACCTTGGAGCTGAGCGAGTTGCGCAGCTCTCAAAAAGAAAACAATACATGCAACATCATGCAAAAGTGGTTGTTAAACAAGTTCAGGGTTGGCGTGCACGTTGGAGGGATGCAGGAAGTTCCTTCCTTGATGCATCAAGTTACGATGTTTCGCTGCAGTATGGAATATGATCAACTCAACCGTTCTGTACTGCTTTGGTGAACGTCACGATACATCGTTGCCAAGGTATGTGTCTAGCCCAGGACCATCAAACACCTTTGAACTATATAAATAATCGAAGTATGATTCATTATATATATATATATTATGGTGCCCCTTGACTCTACTGGTTCAGTTCTCCACTTTATTGCATCTTTTTGGCTAGAATCGAAGGTATCATGGGTTAAATAAGGAATGGGTTGGACGTACACTAAGTAACCCTATCTTGAAGGCGCCGGAGTTTCCGTTAAGCAATGAATCAAACAGGAACCATGAAAAATGCGAAAACATATTTAACATAAACAAAATATATAGCATTAACGAAACACTCATACTAATCTGGCACGCCTTTCACAAGTCTTCATTTTGTTTCACACACACACTGTGGTCACTGTGCATAAACCTTGTCCTGAAATGTCCCGAGATTCATGTCTGACATCGCTTCGCTTTGCCATGCACACTGACATCGCCGCTTGAACGACGAGGGATTGCAGTTTCACCATCAGTTGTGGGGGAGACGGTCGTATATGGATGAATATTGTTTTAATACAGTGATGAGAGGCTGTCTCAATTATTCATGGATACTCCGATACTCTTTTCGTATACCTCAACATTCATCTCTAGCCTCCACACAACTCCATTCCCTCATAGTTTTGGGAAAACAACTACTTTACTTCGAGTGATTCCCACCATGACACTTCAATCTGACAGATTTCTTGGCATGTGTTGAAACATTTTTCTGGCATATCTTCTGACACTCTTTCTGGCGTATCTTCTAACATTCTCCCTGGCATATCTTCTGACATTCATTCTGGATCTTTCTGGCATCTCTTCTGAAATTCAGTCTGGCATTCTATCTGGCATATCTTCTAACATTTGTTTCTGACATTCTTTCTGGCATATCTTCTGCCATTCTTTCTGGCATGTTTGGTGACATTCTTTCTGGCGTATCTTCTGACATTCTCTCTGGCATCTCTTCTGACATTCATTCTGGCAGTCTATCTGGCATATCTTCTGGCATTCTTTCTGGCGTATCTTCTGACATTTCTTCTGGCATATCTTCTGACATTCTTTCTGGCAGTCTATCTGACGTTCTATCTGGCAAATCTTCTGTCTATCGGTCGAGGTCCGGCGGGGAACACTGCCGTCCGGAGCTGGCAGTTGAGGTCCGGCGGGGAACACTGCCATCCGGAGCTGGCAGTTGAGGTGTGGCGGGGACACTGCCATCCGGAGCTGGCGGTTGAGGTCCGGCAGGGAACACTGCCATCCGGAGCTGGCAGTTGAGGTGTGGCGGGGACACTGCCGTCCGGAGCTGGCGGTTGAGGTCCGGCGGGGAACACTGCCATCCGACACTTGCGGTCGAGGAGGAGGAGGAGGAGGAGGAGAGGAGAACAGCGATGCAGCTGACATACAATCTAACAACCCTCACCTGACAGGCGAGGAAAAAAAGATATGATCCTTGCTTCAATAGACCCACCCAGTAAAAAACATGTGTAACACTTTTGTTTCTGGACCAACAGCAACATTTACTGAAGCAAATTCATGGAGCAGGTACAGGCTCCTGGCACATGACCAGCGGCTGTGTCTGGATCTGTCCGCCTGCCTCGGAGAGATCAGGTGTTGGCAGAGTGCAAGCAAACCAGTCGTGGAGATACATTAAAAAGTGTGAAGACATTCAAAATCATTCAAACGTTGTTGTTTTGTGGCCTGCAGTTTTGTTGTCTTTTAACATATTCTAATTCAAAACATAAAATATGATCATGAAGAACGAGTGCTATGGCTTTGGGGTGGTGCAGGATTGCTTGAACCACCTGATGCCTCGATGCGGGATCTGAGATGCTTCTGAAACCTCTGAAATAGCACCTGCTGGGAACATTTGTTGAGATGTCACGATATCTGTTCAGCAACTGAGAACAGTTCAGCTACTTCTGATCTTGAACTTGTCTAGTCTAAGATATGTTTCTCCTAAGGTCGTCTTGTGTCTGCCCAGCGACAGCGTCTTGAATCTCTGAAGACCACCTCAGCACCCCACAGGCGGCGGCATTGATGCCCCTTTATTGCGAAGGATGGACATGTGTGTATTTTTTTTTGCAAACATAGGTGAGGCGGCTTAGATTGAAATTCCATGAAATCCCAAAACAGCTCTGGTATTGAGTTCCTTCATTCTAACGCACCTAGTGGACCAACTTTTGAAGAGAAAACCAAAGGGACGGTTCGATGCGCGGTTGGCGAAATCATGGACTGTTGAGGGTGCGATCGAATCCTTGGCCGGCAAAAAAAGAAGAGTCCAAGCAGTGGCGAATCGTCGGCTCAGGCTGTCCAAGCCACAACGCATGGTCGGCTCAGTCGACGTGCGATCAACGATTTGCAAGGTGTAAAGTTGATCCAGCTTCTTTCATTCGTGATCGTTGACCGAACTTATATGGTCCCAGCCAGTGAGCTGTCACTTCGCCGGTGTGTGACCGGCCTGTACCACGGGATCAAGGAGTCGGTCGCTTTGAAGAACCATGATGTTATTCCCTAGGGATCCAATCGTACCTTCTCAGCAGGTGATTGGAGACACCGCTATGTAGGTTTGGAGGGTCCAAGTACCTTCTGAGAAGGTACTTGGATCCCTAGGGATTCTTGATGTGTGTGATCTCCCACTCTTGAACCCGAGTGTCCGATATCTTTCTGGACGATCGGCCGGCAGTTTTCCACTTTTCCATTGGATTTTCCCATATCCCAAGTATTTTTGTGAACATCCATGAACATGGGCTTTATATCAGCAATTGCCCAAAATCAAGTGTACCCTCATGAAGCCACCCAATCCTGAATTGTTCTGGCCCTAAAGAATCGTAAAAAAAGCTTGACCTGCGCCCCTAGGCTCGAAAATCTCTATTTTGGCCTTTGACTGATCCCCTTCTCGATCCAATACGGACTCCTGGAATCCTCCACCAAGTGATTATTTCCTTTCTCAATCCAATACTGATGTCAGGAATTGTCCCAACTATACATTATAGTATAAAAATATATAATATATATATATATATACTTTCATCATCTTTCATCTCCATTCGTTCCAAACATCTTGACCTCCACAATACTCCTCTGATTTGATACACCAATTAAGTTTCAGCTGGTGCGGTTTGGGGAGAGGATGTCTTCTGTTACGTACATTAGTCAAACATACTGTACTCAAATGTTGTTATTACGTCTAGTGATCCGCCCTCTACTTTAACCAATCAAAATAACCCACGATCAACTAGATAAAAATCCGGCACATGATCACCTTGGCTTTGGTCATTATGTCTACTTTCCCAACTCACTTGACTTTAAACACAATTCTGACATCCTCTCCAAGTCACCACTTCGACCATCCGGCTTCCCGCGCGGAGGCAGGGCCGCAAAGATGCGTCTCCTCTGAGCTGAGATGTGCAGCTCGGCCCAAGAGCATGACGCAGTGAAGGCTGATGGCTTGAAGTCCAACTGCCAACTCCTCCTAGAGCAGCCAAGGCTGATGACTGCCAACTGCCAATCCCGGGATTGAGTGAGAAAGTAAGAAAAGCATCCAAATTCTGCGCACCAAAACATCTTTCTTGCTTCTCTCTCAACCACCTCCAAGAGCATCCAGTGCTCAAAAGATCTGAAGAGCATAAAACCAAGCTACGAAAGGAATAGCGAATAAACAGGGAGCTATGCCGAAACACACCTGAGATCCACTCGCAAAAAGAAATCACACGGGTCCGACCCTGCAAAAAACCTCGATCCGCCAAATGCAGGAAAAAGCTGCAGCAGCTACAGCTGATTCCAAAAAGGGGGGACCTCAGCTATTGGTTTCGTAGGGTGTCCTCTGTCTTGTTCCCTTTCATGGACAAAACAGCCGAGAATAGATCTTTCCCCGCAGAGAAGGGAGATCTGAATTCCTGAATTTCTAACACTTTCCCCTCTCAGTTTGAGATGACGGGTCCCGTCCCTAGGGTTTGAAGAAAGGGGACCATAGGAACCTTCGAACCTTGATCACAAATGGGACCAACATGGGACCAAACATAAATATCATAAATGACACACTCACAGGCACAAATTTGCCTTATCGTCTTCAAATGTCTTCAAGGAAGACATCAGCTGCCCACTGAGCTCGACCTGGTCGGACCCCCTTGAACCGACAGAGCTGTTGAGAAAACCAACAGTTGAGGGATTCAATTGCAACTCAAATGAGCAAAAACTCATCCGGAAATATCCGAAAGACCTTCAATTCAGAGACCATTGGGATTCTGCTTGATAAGGTCTGTGTAATGATTTGTCTTCTATTTGTTAAACATGCTTTAACATCACAAGCAATTGCTCTTGCTTCTCCTCAAGGACCTGCTGTGCTCCCACCAGCGCGCCATCCCGCAGCTTGGTGACGCGCCACTCTGACTGGCCCCCAGGGCCGCGTGGCCGCGGTGTGCTGGCCATGACTGGGTGAACCAGGTAGAAAGTTGATGCTGTGATCCTGGAGTGGGATTACTTGGAGGTCCACTCAGCACTTGCAACATGTTGGGCCAACGGGGGGGGTTAGCCCCGCCGGCAACATATA